TATATGTGGATGACATTTTACATATAACAAATGACATGGGTATGATACATGAGGTGAAATAATTTTTTTTTGTAAAATTTTTGATATGAAAGATATGGATGATGCATCTTATGTTATTGGCATTAAGATTCATCTTGATAGACATAGAGATATCCTAGGTCTATCTCAAGAAACCTATATCAACAAAGCTTTAGAAATATTTCAGATGAAAGATTATTCACCTAGTGTTGCTCCTATCGTGAAGGGTGAAAAGATTCACCTGATCCAAAGCTTGAAAAATGATTTTCAGAGGGAGCAAATAAAAAATATTTGATATGTTTCTATTGTTTGAAGTCTGATGTATGCGCAAGTTTGTACAGGACCTGACATTGCATTTGTAGTTGGAATGTTGGGAAGATATCAGAGTAATCTGGGTATTGACAATTGAAAAGCTATAAAATTTTTTTTGAGATACCTGAAAGGGACAAAGGACTACATGCTTACGTACAAATGATCAGATAGTTTGAAGGTGATTGGTTACTACGATTCAGACTTTGTTGACTATGTTGATTCATAAAAATCAATATCAGGTTACATATTTATGTTTGTCAGTGGAACTATATCTTGGAAGAGTGTCAAGCAAACCTTAATTGTTACTTACACTATGGAGGTTGAGTTCATATTGTGTTTTGAGACTACCTCACAGGGAGTATGGTTAAAGAGTCCTATTTTTGGGCTTATTTGGGCTTAGACTTGTGAATTAGATTTCTAGGCCATTATTGATATATTGTGACATTTTTGTTGTTGTCTTGCTAAGGACAACAAAAGTAGAAGTCGAAGTAAACACATCGACATTAAATATCTAGACATAAGAGAACATGTTAAAGAAAATAGAATGATCATTGAGCACATTAAAACTGAGCATATGCTAGTTGATCCTTTAACTAAAGGTATGCCACCACATAAATTTAAGGATCATTTTGTCATTATGGGACTTGTTTCCAGCTGTAAATTTTTGTTGTAAGAACGATTTTAATGAAGCTATATTAAGTTTGATGTTTCTCATTTTGTTGTGCACACATCGATCTTGATTATTTCGAGAAATATCACTAAAGTTTAGACCTAGAATAAACATTGGGTTTATTCATTAATAGATTTAGCTAAAGTGTTGAGACATGATACATTGTGATACATGAAAGATATTACTAAACTATAATAGAAAATATCACTATGATTCATACATTATATTTTGACTTTGAGTTCTCTTACGAAAAATGAACCAAGTGGGAGGATGTGAGCAGTTTTTGTTTTAATTAACTACTCCTTAATGGTTGGTTCATGTCCATGTAGTAATATGTTCTCATTCTCGGTTTTGGAGTTATGCATGGACGTGCATAAAAGGTAAAGTATAATGTGTGGTTTTGGGTGGGTTTTATGGGAAATCACGCCTATAAATACTCATCTAAGCTAAGGTCCTTAAGCACCAAATTAATTCATTTAGTATTTCATTTGAGAGCATTTGGAAATTTATTCCAACTAGTATGGTTTTGAGTGCTTAGAAGATCCTTGGGCGGTTCTAATTTTCGTGCAACCAAATTTGAAGTGCTAGATGGTGGTTCGTGATAGTTCATGATGGTCGACGGTGGTCTGACGTATTTAACAGTGGTGTAATCAAATCCCAGATTTCGACATATGATGTAGATAAGATTGGAAGTATTTATGTTAGATGTATGCTAACATAAATACGTAGTTTAACCTTTTTTATAATCCTTATTTCCGTATTTGAGCGATGGAGTATTATGAGTACATATTAAAAAAAGGGAAAGAGAAAGCAAACTTGGTCACATGTTGTGCAAAGAGCAAACCAACCAATTCGACATATAATAAATTTAAATTAGGATAAATTGTATAAATGATCCCTAAACTTTTAATTCATTTGCATTTTAACTACCAAGTTTTTTAAATTTATAATATCATTACTAAACTTTTAATTTGATTTCATTACGATCACCATCATTAGCTATCATTAAGAAAAATTATCATGAGATGCTAGAGCCTTCTTCCTCATCTTACCAATAGGATGTTATCTCCTTTTTATCGTTGTTTTTATTGTCATTCGATGATTTTCATGACAAAAAATCATTTAACTACTTTTATTATTTTCTCTTTCTTTTCGTTGGTTCAAATTTGTTGAAAAATATTTTAATTTTGAGAAAAAATTAGAGAATCAAAATATAAAATTTTAACTTGATCATTGCATGAGAAAGCAAATATGTAATTTTAGACACCTTCTGCTTTTAGCGATTAATATGTTTCACTTCACCTTGCAGGAAGGGAAACATATACACAAGAACACTCGAGAGTTATTATCTTTTGAAATCTCAACCTAGAAATTTCCCAAAAATCCATATTGTTTTGGAGGAAGTTTTAGTTATGGAATATGGATTTAAGTTGATATTAAGGTTGTATTTTCAGTTGCATTGCATTTATTACAATTGTGGCAATAACGAGTGTTATTGTAGTTATTGCGGATATCATGGTTGTGCAACAACAGTCTTAGACAACATCTTTATCATTATATAACGACCATTATTTCAATAACGAACAATTATTTAAATCCCTATTGTAAAATGATAATAAAACCATCAAATATCAATTGAGCTGAAGTCTCACAAGCTCAAAAGTAATGAACTAACATGGAGCTTGAAGAAATAATCTCAAAAGATATAATTAAATTCCCCGTTTGTTTATCTCTTTGGTAAGTTTGCTGATTCTTTGATACAATCATAAGAAATCACAAATAAGCATGGTAGACTTGGAGAAAAGCCAGAATCTGATTTATCTGCAACTTTTAGTTTACATCAAATGCAATAATATGTTCATCTTATGGCTTTAATTGGACACTATTTACCAATAATTGTGTACCTTTGAAATTTTATCTCATAAGCAAGAATAATCCACGACCCAAACTACCTCACTGTTTAAAATGATGATTGTTATCCTTATAAGTTCGAGGTTCAAGCACCAACGACTGTAGAGTATTTGAACAATTATTATTAAATGGTTGAGAATCTATAGAACAAATTCTACCACTTGTAACCTTAGATTAATAAAAAAAAGTAAGAATAATAAAAGAGCAAGAATCTAACCATAAAAGATTTTCCAATGAGTTTGAATAGAAAAAAGAAAGAAAGAAAAAATAGTTTAGTGACATTTTTGATTGAAGAAATCACTAAATGATGACATAAACGATGATAAAAGGAGGTCACAACCAATTTGGAAGAAGAGCTAGGGTTTTTGTTGTAGACGACAACTAATGTCAGTGACCATAATGAAAACGAATTAAAGGCTCAACGATTATATTACAAGTTTCAACAGTTTGATAATCAAAACAAAAACATCCCAAAATTTAAGGATCATTTATATAATTTATCCTTTGAATTAAAGATTTAAAATGGCAAGTCAACACTAATTTATCATCTGATTTTGTAATAAGTTGAAAGGTGTGCCATCATTTATCAACAAATTTTAAATAGAATTACATCTCTTTAATAAATCAGTAAATTTGTAACAAAAGCAAATAATAAATGACATTCAATCTAAACCATGACACGATATTCTCTTAATGAATTGAAATATGGAAACACCTGAGGTAAACCTTATTCTCTTGTCGGCAACTCATGTCTTACCTTCTTCTAATATAATCTTTTACCATTCTTACCAACTTCATCAACAAAAAGAAACTGCAAAAATTTATGAAACAAAAAACAGATTTAATTAAAATATTTGCCTTTGTTCTATGTTTGTTTGGGAATAAAAAGAAACGGATATTAAGAAAATGAAGATTTTCATTGTTATTTTTATGTAAACTAGCCGAGTTGATTTAGGGTATTGTTAAATTTTACTTGATTTAAAAAGTTTTAAACTGAATTTAATTTGACTCAAAAGCTTGTAAGCTTGAATTACCAAATTCGACTTAAACTCGAAATAAAAAATTGAAGTTCGTCTCGACTCAAAAGCTCGTCAGTTTAAAATTTTCAAGGTCAATCTGAAATCAAAATTGAAGCCCAACTCGAGCTTGAGAAAATTTAAACTCAAAACATTCTCAATCTTGACTCGATTGAAGCTCAAACTCGAGTTCAATTCAAATTTAAATTTGAGTTCAAACACAAACCTTAATTAAATATCAATTTCTTATGATATTTTGTTTTTTTGAAAAACATTAATATTTGTATTATTATTAATTTAATTTAAAATTTTGAAATTTAATATATGTTATTTTTTTCAAATACCAACGAGTTTTTTTTATTGAATATAGAGTAAGTCGTTTTGATTTGTTTAATTTAAATATTAACTCAACTTTGATAGAATTAAATTAAAAAAATGTCTCGTGTTATCTCATTTACAGCCCTATTTGTGGGAGAGGTGGCCTGCAGTAAGAATAACATGATTGACAAGAAAGATAAAAATGAAATTGGCATAGGGAAAAGGTAAGCCGAGTTTTCAATTCTTTGAGGATGAAGGTGGGGTATGGTTGCCCTGTCTTTTTCTCATTTTGAGTTGCAGAAGGAGGGATTCTTCTTCCTTCTTGGATTGGGCCCTTCCTTTTCTTTTTAAATTTTTTCCCCATTAAGTTCCCTCCCTTCCAATCTCCCTAAACCCCAAAGCTTACTAATCAGTAGAAATGAACCAAATTTAAACCAAACCCAAGCAGCAGCAGTGAAAGTGTAATCTGAATCCCTTCTTCTTCTTCTTCTTCTTTTTGCTTTATTTCTCGTTAATTTCAATCTACATTCACGGAAAGCTCAAGCAAAAGGTAAAATATGAGGCAGACCTCTCGAACTATTGTCTTCTTTGTAAGTCTTTGGTTTTGGTTAAAATGCCGGCTACTCATTTCAATAATTTTTTTAATGTTTCCGATCTAACGGCAAAAATTTCGATTATGCAGTCCTTGGAGAATGTTAAAATAATGAAATGAGGATGGGATCCAGTGCACTGTTGATCAGAAAATTTTCCTTTTGAGAAGATTTGAATGTTGTCTATAGCCATTGCGAGGGTCTTGTCTTCAGTTTCATTGCCGCCATGACTACCAAACGAGCTTACAAGCTACGTATCCTTTTTTAGGTTTTTTTAATTAAATTATGTTAATATTGATCTGGGTTTTTCATTACAGTTGCCCCCATCACTTCGAACAGATCTTTTTCTTTAAGAATTATTTATACCCAGGGTTGCCTTAATAATTATAAACAGAAGAATTTGTGGCACACTCTTCAACTGTGAATTGCCTGAAGATTGGAAGGAAAACGTCTAGGGTTCTTGCAACTGGAGGAGAAGATCACAAGGTTAATCTCTGGGCTATTGGTAAACCCAACGCTATACAGGTCGGTTCTCGCTCTATATTCGCTCAATGCATTTCCTGTCAAATACCCTTCTTTTTTAATATCATTTATCTGTCACTTATTTGCTGTAATTAGTTTTAAGCTCACTCCCTCACTGAGGGAGAAAAATAATATTTGATATAGCATATAGTAGGATTAAACAATTGTAATTATGAATTTTTTTTTTGATTTGGAGACCAATGAATTCTTATTCCGTACATTTTTTATGTGAACCATTATATCAGAGTTTGTCAGGACACACGAGTGGAATAGATTCAGTGAGCTTTGATTCTTCAGAAGTCTTGGTAGCTGCAGGTGCTGCAAGTGGTAGCATCAAGCTTTGGGATTTGGAGGAGGCAAAAAGTATGCCTGTCCAGTTTCATAGACCTTTTTCCCCCTAAAATAATAATCAAAATATGCATGTTGTTGTATGTTAAATGCCGGTCTTAAATGTGTCAGATTGATTATTTATTTTTGATATCTTTTTTGCAATCTGTACCATTTTAGTTGTTCGGACTTTGACTGGCCATAGATCCAATTGCATCTCTGTGGACTTCCATCCCTTTGGTGAGTGTTTTGCATCTGGTTCTCTTGATACAAATCTCAAGGTATGGGATATCAGAAAGAAAGGGTGTATCCATACATACAAGGGCCACAGTCGAGGAGTCAATGCAATCAGGTTTACACCAGATGGCCGATGGGTTGTATCTGGCGGTGAGGACAACATTGTGAAGGTCAGAATTTGCTGTAATTTAGTTCATGATGCCAGTCATTTTGTACGTATGTAATCCTTAGATTGTACACGTGTTTCTTTTTCTTTTGGGTTCTGTGTGGGCATTGTAGGGTGAATAAACATAGAAAGGTTTTCAATTCTTTTAGGGGTAGTCTGTTTCATGGCCTTGCTCTTATTTCGTGAGAACTGGAATCGAGATTTTGGAGTTTGGAGTGAGGCTATGCAATGCTGAGGGTGTTGGATGAACTTACATGCCTTCTTTATTTCACATTGTTTTTAATTATCCGAGTGTTGCAACTTCAAAACATTGGCTGTTCTGTTATATATCAATGAGTTGCTCCATAGGTGCAGTTCTTTGGCATTCTCACATCGAAATTTAATTTCTGCAAGCCATTTCATTGTATAAATGGTAAAAAGGGTCAGATGGGCGTATAGATTGCCAGCTTTAAGTTTTCTTTGATAAAAATGTTTTCACCTTATGAACAAATTTAAATGCACATTTAGGGTCTGTTTGTTTCACTGACAACATTTTTTAGAAAATGTTTTCCGTAAAATGAATTACATCTTCTGGAAAATATTTTCTGGAAAATGTTTTATGGTGTTTGGAAGATGTTGTGTGAACCATTTTTCACTAGTTGATAATTTTTTAGAAATTATTTATTGCAAATATAAATATATAAATAATATTATTTATTATAAAACTTAATATTATTATTTTAAAAATATTAGAATAATTTATTTAATACTATTTATGCCAATATTATTATTAAAATATTATTTCTATAATTTTATAAATAAAATATTAACTCTAGTATATTCTATTAAAATAAAAATATGATAAATTATATTGAATATCTATAAAAATAAAAATATTATATTTTAAAATTATTAATAAATATTTTTAAGTAATTTTTATAATATTATTAGACTGTTATATCAATATTAAATACTAAATAAAAGTATTCACTATTAATAATTCAATAATATTATTTTTAAGAAATTAATAAATAATATAACTTTTATTAATAATTTATTATATATATTAAAATAAGAATATAATAGTATCATATATTATTATAATATAATTGAGGATATTATTGTAGTAATATTATTATTATATTATATTATTAAAAATATTAATAAATATATTTTAAAATGTTAATAATTAATATTTTTATTAAAATGATACTAAAATATCATATTAATATTAAATTTATAAAATAATATATTTTGAGTATTTATGCTTTGAAGTGAAAAGTTTGGAAAATGACTTACGAAAAATTAAACCGTAAGTCATTTTCTAGAAAATGCAAAGGAAATTCTGTTGACTAAGAAAATGTTTTACATTGATCAATCTGTTTTCCTCCAACCAAACACTGAAAAGTGAGGAAAACGTTTTCCGGAAAATGTTTTACATGAAACAAACGGACCCTTATACGTGGATTGTATACACATTTTAGCTTTTGAGTTCAGATGTTGATTCAGGATAACTTTACAATAATCTTTTTCATGTTTTATATATCAACAGGTTTGGGATTTGACTGCTGGAAAATTGTTGCATGATTTCAAGTATCATGAAGGCCAAATTCAGTGCTTAGATTTCCATCCCAATGAGTTTCTACTTGCTACAGGTTGGTTATAACCTTCTATGAAAAGTGTTCTTGCTTATTCCTCATTTGAGAATTCTATGATGTCCTTTTAAGTTATATACAAATATCTATTATATTGTGAATTGTACATCCTTCGTGTGTGCTATGATTTTCATTATATGTTCTCTTCCCTTACAGGTTCAGCTGATCGGACTGTTAAATTTTGGGACCTTGAAACCTTTGAGCTTATTGGTTCAACTGGGTCTGAGGTACTTTAACTGGTTTTTGGTTTTGTAGTTGGCTCTTTTAGTAGACTTAGAGATTCTATCGAAGATCATAAGATCTATTTTCCATACTGAGATCACAGGATCTTTTATTTACCTGTTTTATGGAGAAGTTTGTACATGATTTTCACTCTCTATACTGTAGACTACTGGAGTCCATTGTTTGACCTTCAATCCTGATGGGAGGACTGTACTTTGTGGATTACATGAAAGTCTAAAGGTGAGGTCTTTTACAGTTCAATTTTCACCAAACCATAATGATTTATGAGCAAGTGTTCTATGCTATTAAATTTTTACTTTATTTTCCCTCGCAATTTTTAGGTTTTCTCATGGGAACCAATAAGATGTCATGATGGTGTGGATGTGGGGTGGTCTAGATTGTCAGATCTTAATGTTCATGAAGGAAAGCTTCTTGGCTGCTCATATAATCAAAGCTGTGTTGGAGTTTGGGTTGTAGACATCTCGGTATTGTTCAGTTTTCTACACTTTTATCTGTCCATCTTTCTTTATTGGCAGTTGTTAATTATTATGTTAAAGATTTTAACATTAAATTTTGGTCTTTGGTACAGTGCATAGAGCCTTTTGCTGTTCCTGATGCTAATAACGTGAATGGTCATTCTGAACCCAAATCTTGTTCTGGCGGAACCCTCTCTGTACTGAATGAGAACACAACAAAAGCTAGTATGGGAAGGTTATCAGTTTCACAAAATCCTGATACTTTAGTGAAGGAAACAAAATCCCTGGGAAGGTTATCCATTTCACAAAACTCAGATCCTGTTAAGGAGTCCAAAATTTGGCATGTATGTTGCATTTTACTTTGATTTCGTTTTGGGGTTTAGCACATTCACACTACTTTATGTTTATTAGTTTTCATTTATACAGTTTACTCTTTAAAAAGAACTAATATTAGTCGAAAAAGGTCTCAGGAAAGATGAGTAATCCATCACTTTGAACTTAACTACACAATTCTTTTTGAGAAATCAAAAACTAAAGGGAAAAGGTGGGAAAATGGGTAGATAGAACATGTATGGTAGAAATGTGCAAAATATTTTTACTTGTTCATTTATTTTATGGTGTGCTTTAGTAAGCAGGCAGTAGTAATAGGTCAACTTATGAGAAAAGAGGAAAAATAGAAGAAAACAATTAGGAAAATGATTTAATTGATAATTAGAAATAGCATAAATGCTTAGCCAAATGGTAAACAGTACTAGTGGGGGACCGCGTGCAACTGTTATCTATCTTTCTATCTTATTCTGGTTTTTGCATTATGGTTAAAGCCACAGGAAATGTACCTGGTACCCCTCAGAGGGTCAATTTAGACACTGCTCCAAAGACAACGCAACCGAGTTCAGTACCTGTTCCTAGTGGAGCAGCTTCAAAGAGGAGTTCTATGAGGACTAGCTCAGTTGTCAATGTTCCAAATTTTAACAGGTCAGATGTCATACCTGTGATTGTGCCTAGAGATGATATGAGGTTGGAGCTGGCTGTTGAATCAAGAAAAGAAGTTGGGATATCAGGGAGAAGTTTGGAACAGACAGCCAAATCTAGAAGAGAGGTTGGAATCTCTGGGAGAAGTTTGGAGCTGATCCATCCAGATGCTGAATCTGGAAAAGAAGCTGGACTAGTTGGTAGAACTGTAAAGCAAGGAGCTGATTCCAGAAAAGAACTGTGTATTGTTGGAAGAACAATGCCATTTTCTTTGCAGTCAAAGGCATCTAGTTTTCGGAGGTTTCAAAATAGCAAGGAAGACATGGACCAACCATCTATCTCTGCTCCGTCTCAAAGTGAAGATTCTAAGGTGGATGAATTCGGAAGTGTTCTGGACAAGAGTAAATTTCCATCTCTTAAAGGAATACCAGCTGTTAAAAGGAAAACAAGAGAAGATAGGTGTGCTGGCTCTGGTAAGAGTGAATCGAACTCAGTGGTTGAGTTGCCTCCAAACTACTTGGATGAAAATTGTATGTTCTTAAAACTTTTAATTCACTGGTTAATTTTAGGGTTTTTCATTCGTCACAATTTTTTGGGTTGTTTTGGGTGAGGGGTTACTACTGAATTTCAAAAGGCAGGTTTGGGAGGTTTTTTCTTATTCATGCACTGACCAGCCAGATTCCAGTCATCAGAATCTTATCGCATGATAATTTTTCTAATTTTCCTTTTCCAATAGAAATAGGAATGCAAAAAATAAAAATGAAATGAGAATAAAGAGAAAAAAAACAAAAGGTTGAAGCAGAGTGTTATCTGTACCTCAGCATTTCTCAAGTTGAAATGTCTATGTATTAATACTGAACCAGAGCTCTTTGTTTCAGATGATTCACAGGTGCAAAAAACACATAGAGACGCATATCCTTTAGAGAGCCAAAAAGGTGGTATATCTCTCCATAGCAGGTTGATATAGTGCACAATTCCGTAGTCTGAACTCACTACCTTGGTCAATGCTTCAGGAAGAACACACCCAGTAGTTATAAATTGGGAGAAAAGAGGGAGGCCTTCTAATTATGACGGACCTACTTTTGGTATAGCTCGGAGGAATACATCTACGTCAGATATGTCTTCATTCAATTCGGTAAAAACTTGCCTAAGCTTGTATTCACTTTCTTTTCCTTTTTCGTTTTAATATGTTCCCAGTGCTAATTTATGCATTCGGTTCTTATCTTTTTTGAAGTATAAACAAAGAGGATACAACTCCTCTGTGGAAAAAGAAATGCCTTCTGCCAGTGATGAGGATGCTGTTGCAGATATAATGGAGCAGCATGACCAATTCATTGGTTCCATGCAGTCTCGTTTATCTAAGTTACAGGTGATCCTAATCAAACTGGAAGTTATGATATGGAGTGTTTAGATGCTTTTGTTTTTCACTTCATAGTAAAATGTCGACATTGTTGAAGTTAACATAGAAGATTGCTGAACCTTGTTTATTACTGGTTATAGGTTGTGCATCGTTGCTGGGAAAGGAATGACATAAAGGGTGCAATCAGTGCAATGGAAAAGATGGCTGATCATGCTGTAAGAACTTTCAAGTTTGTCAATCCATGTATCTTGGTTTGAACTTTCGTGTAACTCGAACATATTGAAGTGCTACTTGCATTTTGTTTTTGGGTGATGGGAATTGCAGGTGCTTGCTGATGTGTTGAGCATTGTCACTGATAAAATAGACATTGTCACGTTGGACATATGCACTTGTCTTCTTCCCCTTCTGTCGAGTCTCCTTGGAAGTGAGATGGATAGGTAAAAACAGTATCATAATCTAGCATTTTTGTTGTCTCTTAGCCTGGGACTTTTGCTCTCAAATTGTTCTTTAAACGTCAATTGCTTTCAGTAGTTGTTTCTCTGGTTCATTGTATCTACCAATAGAGTAGATTTTGGTATGTAACTGCAGCTCTTATGTAGGCATTTGAGCATCAGTCTCGACGTCCTGCTTAAGCTGGTTAGAGTATTTGGTTCAATGATATATTCGACATTATCTTCTTCAACGCCTGTTGGTGTAGACATTGAGGCAGAGCAAAGGTCTGCCTGCTTGCTTCGGAACTGCGAATTTAATCTTCAAATGTTCAGTTATTGTATTATTAACCGAGATCATGCTGCTGATTGCCCTAGGTTTGAATGTTGCAACCTCTGCTTTATAGAACTTGAAAAAGTAAAGCACTGTCTGCCCATGGTTACCAGGTGAGTATGGTGGCAATTCGAACTTGTAGCGAACTGCTTTAGGGTTTAATCATCCGAGATATCCATTTTTATTTATTTGTTTCTTTTTTATTTTTTATCCATAGAAGAGGGGGATCAGTGGCAAAATCTGCCCAGGAATTGAATCTAGCACTTCAAGAAGTGTCATAATGGGAACCAACGTGTAGATTCATACATGCATGCACTAGCTTATTTTGTGTGCTTTTATGCGTTATATTCTTTTATTGTCATGGAGAGTAAGTTTTCAGCTGGTCAAACATCAACGACTTCCATGCATATTGTCTTGTCAAGTCCTAATGCAGCTTGTAAATTTTATACTAAACGAAAGCGTTTAACTGATAGCCGATTCTACTACATTGTCAAGGTTGAAGCTCTAATTTGGGTTGTCAACATGCTGCTGGTTTCTACTAAGTTTTTTCTACTTTGCTCCTTTTGGCCTTTTAACTATTTTTTTTTTGTACTATAAAATTCAATATATACACGTGTGTTAAAAGCTGTGGAACAACATGAACGAGAGCATGGTTTAGCTGCTCGTATTTGCCAGGTGTTATCTGCGACACTGGCGGATGTAAATGGGGTTTAGGGTGAGTCAGAGTTCACCCTAAACTCTGAATTTTTTATGTTCATTTTATTGGTGGTGTCCACCCTTAAATTTTACTTGTGTTCACTCTATATGAAAAACTTTTGTTATTAATATAAATGTGCCCCGTTTAAAAAATATTTTTGGATTCGCAAGATTCGTTCTTAAAGATCGAAAGAAAGTGAAAGAGAGAAATCTCCACCTTGAAGTTGCTCAAACACCACAATGTGATTCGTTTGCATGAGGTATTATTTACTGTTTAATCATGTTCCAAGTCCTTGTATCAATAGACTAAATTGCTACAATTAGAATATAGGGACTAAAATTTGTATGTCTTAAGGGTAGAGGGACTAGATGCAAATTAGATATATTATTGTTACTATTGAGCTTTTCTTTTGTTGCTAAGTAATTGTTATTATTCGCTAAACCAATGTTTTAAGCATAATACTGATGCATGGTTATCTAAGTGCTCATGATAAAGATTTAAAGTTGAAAGATATACTTTACCAAGTAGGACGATAGAGGTGATTGGAAATACGATCAGAGTAATGTAGCAAGTATTCTATGCCAAAGGAAAGGCTTCTCCATAGCCATAAGGAGGCATTGCCTGTTAGTTACGGTAACAAATCATAATTCGTCTCAAAGACTGTCATTATACTTAGTTTCTCTGTATAAGCTTTCATGGTTTTTGATGTAAACATGATCCATATAAATGATAAGTTGCAGAGCATACACCAGGGGAAAACTCACTGGAGATCCATTTATTTATCAGAAGACTCAGAAAGAAGAAATGAAAAATGTTTAGAAGGGCATCTTAAAGAAAGCACACGATTTTTATTTAAAGGCTAACTCTTGCCTTCTTACAAACCTTAGCTCTCATTTTATAAGCAGAATGAGAGAAAAATAACAAATTTACAAACTTTCCACGTTTACAAACACAATACATAGGATACTAGACAAAGTTTGAAAAACTGAAACAAAAATACTAAAGATTCCTGACATGATAAAAAGTGATTAATCACTATAATAAGTGGACTCATCAGATGTCAAATTCAACTAAATTATTCTGTCTTCATTTACTTGTTTCTTTCTGTAGCGTTCTAACCGATAAGCTTTATATGCATCTTCTGGGTCCACGTCCATATTTTCTCGTGGTGTTGACTCATCCATTATCCGTTTACTAGCAACACTCAAAATCCAAGAATAATCTTTGGACCATTCTAAAGGATCATGAATACTTTCTCGATATTCTTGTGTTACTTCCATGATTGCTTTGTGATCAGATGTAGGATTTATAGGTCATGAATCCCATGGTGCTTCAACATTTGGCGGTGGCCATATCTCTAATGGGATCTGGTTGTTTAGCTGGCACAAATACTTTTGTAGTTCCCTGTGTTAGACATCCAATTTCCTTATATCATTATGGTAAATCCTGTGAATCCATGCCATAGGAAATGACCCTAACTATGTAGAGGCTCCATGCAGTTAAAATAATGTGACTTGTAGAGAATAAGCACCTTGGATAAGCCAGGGGTTCTGTAAGCTTCTTTGTTAACCATATCCAACCATTGGTGCAGAGGATAAAACCATTGTAAAATGGTAAAAAGGTTTTTTTTTTAACTCTAGTTGAATTTGTCCTTGTGTAGCTCTGCCTAAAAAATACTGAAGGTCTGGTAAAAAGAATTCGATAGCTACATGGTATATATGAGTAAAATACTATAATAACCATTTCAGCTCATCTGGTACTTCAGTAAATTCAAAATGGAGTGGGTGAATAAATGGATATTCAGGGTGTCGTAACCGGTTTTCGTCCGGGCACAATTTTTTTACTTGGCGGGAAAAGTGATGTGAATAAATGGTTTTTAAAATAATTTGGGAGTCGCCATCGGCCTTTTGGGTCAGGTAGGTCAAATACCTAAAAATCATCCTTTAAAAGAGTTTTTAAGAAAACATCGATTAAAAGATAAACTGATCTGCGTTTTAACCAAAAATTTGTTCTTTTTAATAATAAAAAAGATTCGTGGTCGGTTACGTTTAGGGAAGGATTAACACCCCTACAACGCCCAAAATTGGTACTTTTTAATTATAAATTGTCTCTATTATTATAAATTTAAAAATTCAAAATATATTTAATTTATAATCCTATTATTTAAAAATTATAATTATGAAAAAAATATTAATTTATATATATTTATAAATAAAATATTTATTTATTTAGAAATATCAGAAAATGACTTCTATGTGCCTTAAGACAGCTCTTTTCTTCGATATTAAAAAATAAATAATTAAAACAATTAATATATAATTTATAAAATAGGATATTTAGTAAAAATATCAGAAAACGGGCTTCTAGGTGCTTTAAGACAGTCATTTTCTTAATATTGAAAAATAAATATATATTAAAATATGATTATTAAAAGTAATTTATGAAATATAGGATTTTAATAAAAAACAAATAGAATAAATAAATAAATATTATTTATTATTATTATATATATATATATATATATATTTATATAAATAATAATAATAATAATGAAATAATAATTAAAGAAATAAATAATAATAATAATAATAAAATAATATTACAAATAATGATTAAAATAAAAGGAATTAAAAATATAGTGTTAAAATGTAAAATATTAAAAAATCATAGTCAAAAATGAAAATTTAATGATTAAAATGTAAATTTATAAAACTAGAGTACTAATTCGAAATATATAAAAGATGGGTATTAAAAGTGTAATTTAACCATAATTCATAATACGGGACTAAAACAAAAATATTAAAATTATTGAGGACTAAATATATTATTTATCCTAATTATATATGCAGTTAAGGACTAAACGACTGGCCCAAAGGGCCAGCATCCTCATTTCTTCTCTTCTTCTTCTCTCTCAAAAATGAGAGAAGAAGAGCTCTCTCATTTCTCTCTTAATTTCCCTCACCGGAGGGAAACGATCTTCGGTCGACCACCACCAAATCCGCCGCCGGCCACCACATCCGGTGGCCGGAAATTATAAAATACCCTCAAATCGACGCTTTATTTACCCTAAAGCCCAATCTAAGGTTGTTTTAACCTAAAAGCTTACCAAACGTCGTAGATCTGAGATAATTTCCTTCGTCGTTTCGATTCTCCGGTGACTCGTGGAGGCTGTCACGACGGTGATTTCCTCGGTAAGTCTCCTTTTCTCTTCTCCTCTTTTATTTGGTTGTTGTTTTTGCTTGTTTGATGGTTGCTCTCTGTTTTTCTCTGCCGTAGCTCTCTGTTTGTTCTTGCTCTCCGTGGCTGTCTCCGATTCTTCCTCCATGTTCTTTCTTTTTTTATTTTACAGGTGAGTCGAGGCTTTTATAGCCTCGACGAAACGCTCCTCGGACCGGTCACAGAAGGGTTTCTCGGTGAGTCACCATAGCTATGGTGGTGACTCACCATAGAGCTCTACGTGGGGTGAGGACGAGGCGTTTCTGGAGGCTTCGATGGGGTGGCATGGCACTGACGGCGGCGTGGCAGCAGCTGAAGCGTCAACGTGGAGGTGGCGGCTGAGCAGAGGCGGCGGCTGGCCTTCTGGAATCTTGGAGGCGGCTGGGGGCTAGGGTTTGAAACCCTAGCATAAATGATATAAACCCTAAAGGGTTTAAGTTGTCTGTTTAGGCCTGGATTGGGTCTGGGCCTCCAAGATTTGTAAAACAGGCCTCCGGGTCTTGGGCTTGTAATTATTTATTTAATTATAATAATATATAATAATAATAATAATAATAATAATAATAATAATAATATATATGAAAGTGAAAAATTAGTGTCTATAGCTGCCCCTTTTTGTTCATTCTTGTGTTAACAAGAATATAGCAAAGACGAAAAAGACAATAATTTTTAATTTGACTTCTTTTGAGTAGGATGGAAATGTTAAAAACATCATGCACTGAAGGTCTTACAGATGACCCGAAGGGTTTTGAAAACATCATGCACTGAAGGACTTACAGATGACCCTAAGGCTTTGAAAACATCAAAAAGCTCCTGAAGGTTTTTTGGAAACATCTTGCACTGAAGGACTTACAGATGACCCTAAGGCTTTGAAAACATCAAAAAGCTCCCGAAGGCTTTTTGGAAACATCATGCACTGTAGGACTTACAGATGACCCTAAGGCTTTGAAAACATCAAAAAGCTCCCGAAGGCTTTTTGGAAATATCATGCACTGTAGGACTTACAGATGTGGGAAATAGTTTACTAAGTAAAAAAACTAAGGAAATCGTTTTCTTACTTTTTAACAATTTCATTTTAGAAAAGATAAAATGAGAAACTATGGAAATCGTTTTCTCATTATTTTTCAAAATAACAACATCAAAAATCTCCTGAAGGCTTTTTGGAAACATCATGCACTGTAGGACTTACAGATGTGGGAAATAGTTTACTAAGTAAAAAAACTAAGGAAATCGTTTTCATACTTTTTAACAATTTCATTTTAGAAAAGATAAAATGAGAAACTATGGAAATCGTTTTCTCATTATTTTTCAAAATAACAACATCAAAAAGCTCCCGAAGGCTTTTTGGAAACATCATGCACTGTAGGACTTACAGATGT